TCAGCTAAAGGCCATTGCTTTGTCCATATTGGTTTCTCAGTCAACCATTTTAGAGGCTGTTGTTATCTCTGAAGGGACATCAATTGCTTGTTCTTGTACAGCCTGAATGTCCAGTTTCCTCCGTTTGTAATATCTTTTAATATTATTCTCAGAAATATAGGCTCTAGAAGTAGCAGGAATGTTAATTTCGGTATTCCATTGTTGTAATAGGTCTAGACCCCATAAATTCATTGCGATATTGGCTACATATGGCCGTAATTTTCCTATTTGTCCCTCTGGCCCTATACATTCAACCCATCTCGTGCTCTGCCTTACTTGAGATATGGTTCCATTTCCCAGGAGCTGAGCATTTACATTCTGAAGAGACCAATACAGATGCCAAGATTCTGGGGTAATGATACTTACATCAGCATCTGTGTCCAGCAGGCCAGTAATAAAAATGCCATTTACACACACTCTCAGTTTAGGTCTTTAATCATTTATCGAAGTTTGCCAAAACACACGTAACTTATCTTTCTGATCATTATTGCTTGTAACAGTAGGCATGGGGCTTCCTAATTGTTCTGACGAGGCACGTTCTCTGCAGAAACTGGAAATGCCTGAACCATGTTTGCCATGGGAGCCTGTGAGGCCCCCCCTCTCACATTTCCCTTCTGTATCAGGTTGCCTTGTCTATCTCTTGTAGACCTGCATTCATTCGTCCAATGCCTGCCTTTTCTACATCTTCTACATAAACCTGAAGGCTGAGTCCTCCTATTACTGTTATTTCTATAAGATGCATTATTATTATTATTATTATTATTATTATTATTTCTGAAAGATGCATTATTATTATTTCTGAAAATCCATTTTCTACAATTCCTTTTCATATGACCCATTTTGCCACAATTAAAACATTTGGTCTTCTGGTGTCTCCTTTTACCATTGGAAATTGCTTCTTCTACCCATGCTTCAGAGCCATAATCAAATGTATCAACATTGAGTGTATGCAAGACCCATTCTTCCAAGGGTGCTGATCTGAGCTTTAAAGGGCGCAAAATCTTTTTGCATTCCACATTTGCATTTTCATAAGCCAAAGATTAAATCATTATACGTCTTACTTTTGGGTCAGATATCCCTATTTGTACAGCCTTAGTTAATCTTTGTAAAAACTCACTAAAGGGTTCTCTCTGACCCTGTTTAATTGTGACAAATGATTCCAGTCTCTGTCCTGGGTCTTGTACTCTGTCCCAAGTCCTTAAGGCTGCTGTAGTACACATGGAGAGTGTGTTTTCATCCAAATTAGCTTGTTCCTGAGGGTCGGAAAAGAGCCCTTCATCTAGAATTTTATCTAGGGAAATGTCAATTCCCTTCGCTTTTTTCTGCTGTTCTAAGAGTCTAGCCTGTTGCCTGAATAAGCATTTCCATTTCAATTGTGGTCCACTCTCAAGTACCGCACAGCTCAGCTGGAGCCAGTCTGAGGGGGTTGCTCTGCTTGTCGTTGCCCAAGTTCTTAGCATCTCTTTAACAAAAGAGGCTTGCATCCCAAAAGTCATGACAGCCTGTTTTATTTCCTTGAGATCATTCCATGTATCCTCCTTGATGACCCTAGGGTTCTTGGAACCAATCACCTTCTCTGTTGTTATTACTGGAAAGGCAGGTAGAATTGTAGGTAGAGCTTTGTGGAAATTGTCCCAGAGAGATTTACCCACAGATGTAATTAAAATTTGCCTTTCTACCCTTTGCTCTTCTTCATCAGAATTTAGAAATTCCTCAATCTTTTCAATTCTATTCACCATTGCCTTCTGCAATGTCTGAATCTCCTGTCCAGAATTATGCTCCAAAGCCTTCATTGAGGATTTTAAAGTATGAAGTTTGTCCGTTAGAGATACCATCTCTTCTTTAAACATAATTTTTATGGCATAAACCGTGCCTTCTTGTATTGACAATCTTTCCTTCAATCTGTCATAAGCTTTAGACAAAATCCAATTGTCACATTCAGCAGTTTTGATTCTCTCAGTTAATGTTTCATTTCCTACAGAAAGGGAGTGAAGCTTACGATCCAAATCAGCTGTTCCCTCTTCCATAGTAATGAATTTCTCCTTAATATCAGCCACTAATGTTTCAGTTCCTACAGAAACGGACTGAAGCTTACGATCCAAATCAGCTGTTCCCTCTTCCATAGTAATGAATTTCTCCTTAACATCAGCCTGGAGAACTTCAAACTGATTCTTGACATGATTGTTGTCATTCTCAATTGTTTTTAAGCATTCAGTCTCTGCCTTAAGAATCCTGGATTCGTCTCGTAAAGACTTTATCATATTTCTATTATCAAACCATTTAGTGCCAATGAAAACTATGAGTCCCAGAAGGATCCATAGATATGGGGTGATAGACACCTCTTGTAAAATCTCCCACATGGTACAATTAAAAAAAACTGTTAAGTTCTTGAACAGTAATGTGTTCAGACATTTTATTTATAAAAGAAAATTTTTTTACCTGCAATGACCAATTCCTGCCAGTGGTGGTCTCTGTGTTTTTGGAGCCTGTCCTAGAACTAGCTCTTGTAGACCAGGCTGGCCTCGAACTCACAGAGATCCGCATGTCTCTGCCTCCCAAGTGCTGGGATTAAAGGCGTATGCTGCCACCGCCTGGCCAAGTCACTTTGTATCAGACCAAATCTGCCGCTGTGGAAGCTTTTGTTGCAAAACTGCAGGTACTTGAGTTTCTGCTAATTCAGGCAGTGGGGTTACACTCCAAACTTAGCCAAAGCAGGCAGGGAGGGGTTAATTGCTCTGGCGAACAGGCAGGGCAGAATGGGCCTGTGTGGTAGAGTGTGTCTCGGACTTGTCACTGGGGCCCGAGTCACGAACTAAAAAATAGCACCCAGGAGGGTGCTTTGTTAGCTAGCCGGCTACCTGCTTCAGTCAGGGGCAAAATAGCCTGACGTTGGATGCCAAAATTTAACGGCGTAAACGAATGCAGATTGTAAAAATATATATACAGCTTTAATGGCGAAATAGACTTACAGAACCACCATTCCAGAGGAGACCAGGAAAGCAGAAGGGACGGCTAGGAGCACGTTTGCCAAATTTATAGGCAAACATTAGCCTGAGGCGAACAAGCCCCCCAAGGGGCGGGACTTATCCCTACAAATCATGAACTTATGAATATGGTGAAAATGACACTGATATTAGACAATCAGGATGGTGCTGAGGCTCAGAGTTGAGATGCCAATAACACTAATTTGGAATAGACATTTATAATTGAACAGGCATTAAATTAATTTCAGCCTTTACAAAAACCAGAAGGATTCTGAACAATAAAAAAAGGAACACAAAAGAAGAGAGAATGCTGAGAGTTTGTTCCTATGTTAGTCATGTATGTTGGTAAGAAAAGAGCAATCAATCTTTGAGGGATTATTTTTTCACTATCATGGATTATTTAGCAGAATAGAATCAAATGAAGCCATGAGTATACCCCGTTTCTTTCTCTATTTTCACGCATGTCTTCTCCATGTTCATGCAGGAGAAATAAAGGGTCATGTGCTCAGTATGTCCCTTCTCTTCTCCATGATCCCAGCAGCATCAGCCTGCATCTTTCTTTGTTATAGAACACTGCTCTCCACCATGGAAATATTCTGGTCCTATTGAAGTCTCTGTAGCTATTCCTACACACAAGTGACCTGTAGAACATTGGTCCCATCAGTATTCTTTCTTGGTGTTGAGGCTCCTAAGGTCACCCCCTTTCCATCAGAACTATAGGCAGTAAAAAGTTGCAAGCACTTTTTTAAGTGGCATAGCCATTGAGATGTTTCCAATATTTCTGGGCATAGCAGAGCACACTGTTCTCAACAGTTGGGTGTGAGACTGGTTGTTGATTCAAGTCTGGTTTACAGAGAGAGTTCCAGTACAGCCAGTGATCACAGTAAGACCCTGTCTAAACATTCAAATAAACAAAAACAAAACACAAAAATCCCAACATTGATGACAAGCTTCTACAGAGTCAAAATGTAACTCATTGTTTCACCAGCTAGATTTGTATGGAGTCTTGTCTTTGTTTCTGTTACCATTGTTCCATATGACCTGTGTAAACATTGTTCTTGTATCCTTAGGAAACATTGATACAACATCCCAAAGCATCTTACAGACACGTTAGAAAACTGACCATGAGATTGGTCTGTATGACGGAGTAAAGGAGAACCAAGAGCTAAGAGAAAAAGAACAAGCACCATATCCCTCAAGTGAAGGTGCTAGGTCTGGAAACCAGCAGGCTTATTCTGTGTTAAGTCCTGGTCTGTGATGACTGAGAGCATTTATCCAGATGGAGATGGTTACAGTGGAGATGTTCTGCAGGAAGAGACCACAGTCAGACTTGGGTTTGTAATACTCGTATTCGGAATGCTGAGGAAGAAGAAGGAGAAATCTGAGACCTGGATGAGGTTTAAGAAGTTCTGTCCCCGAAACAAAAACAAAAACTAAAGAACCACAGAGAGATAGAAGCCACAAAACTTTAGCCCAACCCATCATAGCCCAGGAAGAAAAGAGTCAGGCAGTAAGTTAGAACAGTTCCTCTTTCAGGGGCTGCCAGTATGACAACCTAATGACTGGAACCAGAAACCAGTTTGCATAGGCCACACATTTTGTGTTTGTGTGTTTGGAAAGGAGATCATCTATCTGCAAACTTGTGTCAACTGGAAGATGCCATGACCCCATTTCTTATAGTGCTACTGTTTCTTGGTGAGATACCACCTGGGGAGGGAGAAATATTCTCTGAGAGGGAATCCACCTCGCAATCATGATTTGTGCAATTGGGATGTCTCAGCAGCTCCAGAAGGCACTGGGAAATGGAGGTCCTGCTCATGTTTCATTGTAAACACTCTCTTCCAGGACAGAGCCTGAACCTCTGGAACCCAGCATCAGCAGGTAAGTTTCTTCCCAGCAATACTAGTTTGGACATACTTATTGGGGATCAAAGGGCACTCATGAGCAGAGCAGATGGAGAACAGCAGGTATTGCATGATGTTGGGGATCCGTGAAAGGTTCTGGGTCAGAAAGCTTGTATTAAAGGGGGAGTTCTGGGGAACCAATTGTCAATTTCTTTCAGGGGTCCTCTCTAAACCTACACTGAGAGCAGTGCCAGGAAATGTGGTAGCCACTGGGAACCAGGTGACATTCTTCTGTGAAGGGCCCTCAGAGGCCAAAGAATATCGTCTCTACAAAGTAGGAAGTCAAGACTACCTGAAACCAACAGCCCTTCTAGAAACTGAGAATAAGGCCAAGTTTTCTATCTCTTTGGTTAAATGGAACAATGCAGGCCAATATTGGTGTTCTTATACAAGTACCAATGGCTCATTAGAAAACAGTGACATCGTGGAGCTGGTGGTGACAGGTAACAGAACCCTCCCTCAGCCCCTGGATTTGCCTTAAGGGGGCTCCTTTCTCAAATATGAGAAGTGGGGAACAATGTTTCTCATGAAAGTTCACCTAACAGGCTTTCTCTGCTCTCCTAGGAGTTTACCCCAGCAATGTCGCTCTGTCAGCCATTCCCAGCCCTGTGGTGACTTCAGGGGGCGAGTTACCCTTCAGTGTGAGTCACAAGAGCAGTATAATATGTTCATTCTAATGAAGGATGGTGAGAAGTTCTCGAGTCCTGAACCCTCACAGAACATATACTCTGACATATTTGGAGCCACGTTCTTGGTGGATCCGGTGACCCCCAACAAGAGGTGGATGTTCACATGCTATGGTTATTCCTTGAGCAGCCCTCAGATGTGGTCAGTGCCCAGTAACCAACTGGAGCTCCTGGTATCAGGTAAGGAAGTGCAGTACGTTCTTTTCAGTATAATTGCAACTGAAACAGGGTCCCTGGAAAATACCTGATTTGTGCTGGGTGATTGACAACCAGGGCTACTGGACTCAGTGTCACAGAATTTCTGATACATCTGGTCTTGAAGTGTAGAAACCATGGATGATACTATAGTGAAATCTAAGATTCATGTAAATGTATGGTCTTAATGTGTACCTCTGATATTGAAGGTCAGGTTATGTGTCAGGGGCAATTGTGACTTTCTCTGTGACATTTTAGTGACAGATGTACCTACTTTCTTCCTACTTCTTTGCAGGTTCCCTTCACAAGCCCACCATATTTGCTGAGCCAGGCTCTGTGATCACCTCAGGGAGTTATGTTACCATCTGGTGTAAGGCAACACTACCTACACTAATCTATGTGATATATAAAGAGGGAAGCCCAGATCCTTCGGACCAAAAGAACCAAATAGCCTACAATCATATTGCAAAACTCACCATTTCATCTATGACAGAATTGAATGCAGGAAGATATCACTGCTACTCATACACCTCTGCTGGATGGACAGAATGCAGTAACACCTTAGAGCTGGTGGTGACAGGTAAGAGAAACTCAAATATCTTTTCCCCAGAAGTCACTCTCCTGAAACACTGCTAAGCACTATTTCCCATAGAAGGAAAGCCGTTGGCGGCAATTTAGACTGTGTGGTCTACTTTTTTTTTCCGTGTGTATTTCTTTTAGGAGTCTACAACAAACCCATACTGTTGCCACTGCAAGACCCTGTTGTGACTGTAGGAATGACTGTGACGCTCTCTTGTACCTCAAATCATTCATACAACTGGTTCATTTTAAACAAGGATGATCAGAAGTTCTTGCACAGTGAGCGTTCACAAGATAAAGACACTGGGCCATTTTTTGCCAAGTTCCAAGTGACACTAGTGGCATTCAGCCAAAGGTGGAGGTTCAGATGCTATGGCTCTTACAGAAGTAATCCTCAGGTGTGGTCAGAAGGGAGTGACCTTTTGGAACTTCTGCTCTCAGGTGAGGGCACCTCGGGGTCTCTGTAGAATCATATTCTACTAGACACAGGATTCCAATTTAGATCATGGTATGTCATGTGTTTGAGGATTCAGGGTTCCTGATTCAGTTGACACAGTATGCAGACCATGAGAGTCACTGTATAGAAAATGAGGGGAGAGCATAATAGGAATGGAACCTGGGACGGTCAGGAGAATGATGTGTCTTCCCATGACATCATTGGTTCTTTTTCTATTTAGGAGTAAAGTTCAAGATCAGGAGCAAGTTTGATCTTTACTCTGAAACTGTTTGATTGACCCCACATCCCTCTCTTCTACTTCCTTGTAGGAAAACTTAAGAAACCCACTTTGAGGGCTGAGCCGGGATCTGTGATTGCCTTAGGGAATAGTGTGACCATCTCGTGTGAGGGGACAAAGGGAGAACAACCAATGTATTTCCTCTATAAAGAAGGAAGCCCAGCACCCTGGGACAGTCAAACTCCAAAAGATCCTAGTAACAAGGCCATGTTCTCAATAGCATCCATGGAACAGCATCATGCAGGAAAATATCGCTGTTACTCTTACAAGTCTGCTGGCTGGACAGAGCACAGTGATACCCTGGAGCTGGTGGTGACAGGTGAGAGGTCACTAAGTGTCACAATCTTTGCCTCTGTCCTCAGGAAATAATCTTCCATAGGTGTGCTTCCTCAGCTTTTCTGCTGGAGACATTATGGGCTGTCTTTCATTAAACACTCTGCCTCTTCCTCTCCTAGGTGTTCACCATGGTAAACCTACTCTGTCAGCTTTGCCCAGCCCTGTGGTTACCTCAGGTGGGAACATGACCCTTAAGTGTGTCTCATCTAAAAAATATGATTGGTTCATTTTGACTGGGGCAGATCAAAATTTCTCCAGGTCCCAAAAGGCACAGTTTATACTCACTGGACAGTCCCTAGCTCTGTTTCCTGAGATCACTGTGGCATCCAGCAAGAGTGGGCCCTTCAGATGTTATGGATATTATACAAATACCTCACATGTGTGGTCAGAGGCCAGTGACCCTTTGGAGATACATGTCTCAGGTAAGGAAGTCTCATTTACTCAACTGTTTGGCACCAGAAACCCTTTCTATAACTGTTAACTAAGAATCATAATCTTTGTCTTTTAGGAGTCCACAACAACCCATACTGTTGACACCGTAAAACCGTGTTGTAAACTTAGGAGTGTAAATTGCATGGTTCCATGTAAACTTATTCATATGCCTCTATAATATTATTTTGTTATGTTCACATACATTTATATTTGCAGAAATCGATACAATTTTATATGGTTTTGTATATATATTATGTAACTTACTAATATATGAGTGTTCCATTTAAATCATTTCTACCTTTTCCATTCTTCCTCTCACTCTTTCTGTGTTTTTCAAACCCTTATAAAATTTATGTTTGCCCCTGATTTTTAATTGTTATTGTTTTAGAAAACACACACACGAACACATAAATGCACATCATACAGCCTAGCTTGAGATTCTTTTTATTCTTACGTTTTCTAGCCTTGTCTCCAAATGGTTTTATCTGAAGACCTCACAGATTCACCATGTAGTTTGTCTCCACTTCCTGTTGTCCACTAGTTGCCATCTGATTTTTTTTAGTTTGATCTGATTCCAGGACATACAGAGGAGGAAGACACTATAGAATCTAGGTGGTCATTATTCTGGTCTTCTTTAGGCAACTGTACTTTTGAAATTTCATGGGTTTAGCTTTCTTCTCTTGCCTTGAAGTCTCTATTGTGTAGCAGGAATCTTGTTTCTCTGGCTGTTGTAACCTTTCTACTTCTCCTCCTCAGTATTCTTTATATTTTATATACACAATTTGTGTTGTAGGAGTACCCATTTGGACTGGGCAACCAAGCCATCTTATTTCTGTTTTGACCAGTTGTGAATTTTTATAATCATCCTCATCTGTAGAAAAATATGCATTTTTGATGAGGTCACAGAGCTAAACTTACCTGTGGATATAAGGATAAGCACTTAGAATGAAGTCAGAAATCACATTGGTTTAGGAACATGGAAGTATTGCTTTCTAATCTAGAGTCCATAACCTCTCCAGACACAGGTATAAGTAATATATTTTACTTCCATGTTGGTGTCCTATTCTTTGATGATTTAGCTTACCTACTAATGAGAACATATCTACTTCATGGACATTGTGAGCACAACTTTATGTTGTTGTGGTTGAACTCTTTGTGCTACTAATGATGTGATGATTAGAGAATGAGATGTTAAACTTCATGGGAACTGGGTGACTTGAGTTCAGGAGGAGAACCCAGACTGTCATTATTTCATGCAACTCATATTCATGGGACCCCGATGACAAGACATTGTCTGCATCTTTGGATCTCAGCCGGTGAATGAGTGAAAACCAATTTCCAGGGAAATTAGCTTCCAGCGTTCTTTACTACAGAAGAGCCTCTTTATTTTAAACTGGGAGGGTGTAATTTTTCATCTTAGCTTTCTGAAAAACAATACTCTTGATTCCAAAGAAGAACTTTGGCCACAAGTAATGAACTCAGAGCATAGTCAGACTGAAGTAATCAAGCAAAAGCCCAGGAGAAAGCCTGCTATAGCCGAGAAATGGTTTGTCCCAGATCTTCATTATAGCTGTCATGAGTATAATAAGCATATCTGGGAAATAAAAATTCACAGTTTTAAAAAGAATCAGTTCTCTTCAGCACTTCACACACTGATCATGTCTTTGTTTCTCAGGAGTGCCTGAGACCACCAGCCAACCACAAAACATGTCAGAAGCCACAATAGGTGGGTCAGGAAAATTCTGGTTTGGGCATGGACACCGAAGGTCAAATTGTATACACAGGAGGGAGCTACTCAGAGTGAAAATACAATTACATTCTGGTGGCTTTGTTTGTTCCTTCACCTGTTTGTCCACAATCTCCAGTCTCACAGCCTCAAGATCACACAGTGGAGAACATCATTCGGATGGGCGTTTCTGGTTTGATTCTCACAGTACTTGGGATTGTGCTGTTTGGGACTTGCCCCAGCCAGAGAAGACCTTGATTGCATCCAAGAAGTGAAGATGAGAGATGGCCACAGGCTTACATCATTACTATCTGAAACATTAATTTGTTAATCTTTAGTGTTTTTTACAAAAAATTTAATGTTTAAAATGGGTATCACTTATGAGAAACGATCCAGGAATCACATGTGTTTTGGATGCAGGAAAGGATCAAAATGTTGGGTTGGAGAGTTCTTCCATCACCACATTAAGGCTCGTACCCTCTCCCTTACTGTGGACTTTGAAGAATTTTTCCTTTGACTCTTTTTTAGAGGGGAACTTATTGTCCCTTTAGTGAGGTTTGGTCCTGATTTTTATATATCTTCTGCTTTCCCCAGTTTCTTGTTATACTTTACTTTATTATAAATCATCATATTCCCTATTAGGAACATCTGCCTTGATGTAAATTTTTACTACTATGAATATAGAATTTGATTCAATAAGAACAACAAAAAATTAATGGACACAATTCATATTCCCATATTCTAAGCTAACCAAATATAAATGATGCTCCCAAATTCTGTACTCTCACTAAGGTATCCTATTACCCACACTCATTGTGAGTTTTCTGCTAATTTATAAAAACATTGCTGTCTAGTGTTTAAAGGAACTATTGGTGATGTAGTTTCAAAAATATTCTCTTAATAAAGGCCTTCTCTATTACATTTGCTGATTGATATGTATAATCCTTTGAATGGATACCTTGATGTCCCAGTTTATTCCTGTATTCCAAGGTCAGTTAGTTTCATAATGTGAGCAACAAGGAGCAGTGAAAACCGCAGACATGGCCCCCTTACCCTCTTTGATGTTTCTGTGTGAGGAGGAAGAATACCACCAAATGCTGATAAATTTTTGCATTCTCACAATAAAAGATATTTGTTTAGTTCTCAATTAATTATTTGAAATATTTGAGATCCATGAGAGGAGACGCTTGTCTTAGGCATCCCAGCTGTTTTGTTAAGGTCAGTTGTGTACACTCCATTTTTACAATCCCTTGTTCTCATTAATTGTATGAAAACTTCAGTATGTACTTGGGACTCTGAAGATGCAGAGACCAAGAGAGATAAAACTAAGACACTGTCAAGAGGGATATGGTAAGCATGAGGACTTAAAATAATCAAGTCAGCACAGAGGTATAGAGATCCTGGTCAGACCATCATGGCTCCTGAACTTGCAATATGTTTCTTATGCATTATCTTCATTAAGGTGATTGATGTGGAAAGTCACATTTTAACTATGATAGGAAATATTTTTGGGACAAGGAGATACTGGTGTGTATAAAATGAAGATGTGAACTCAGCACCAGCATGTATTCATTCATCCTTCTCTGCTTCTTGTATGTGGATATAAAGCTTCTAGCTGCTTTAAGGTTCTGTTGACTTGGTATCTCTTTTAATCAACTGTACCCTGGAGCTGTGAGCTGCATAAGCATTTTCTGCATTAAGCTGCTTCCACTTCCTACTTATGTATTTTATCACAGTAGCAGGAAATGTAACACAGAGAGAGAGATTCCTGACTGCCTCATTTAACAATACTTGCATGTTGACCACTCAGGGTTATGCCTGTTTTCTACAGGCAACCACACTTACTATGAGCACATTCCTACACTGTGACATGTGTTCAGGCAATGGTATTTGACAGCACTACTCTTCTTCCCTCACCTTTCTTCTTTAGCATTCCCTGAACCATGAAAAGGGGTATACAGATGTGCTGATTAGATCAAAGCATTCCATGGCCACCCATTTTCCACACATTTACAAGCTACAAGTTTGTACTATCAATCTATTATTGACAATTGCAAACACAGATGTTTGACTAACACTGAGCTGAGTACTAATCCCTTCATTTAAACATAACTAATGCAGTATGACACCATGTGAATTAAGCAAAAATAAGAGTAGCAGATTCTACACAAGCGTGTATAATGCTTCCTGCTGTGGATTTTTGACCCAGTATTATAGTACAAGGCATAGATGCTATTCTGTTGAACATAATTCATATAACATAAGAAAAGAGTCATGTAGTACAATTAATAAAAACCTAGAGATATAAATTGGGGTCCAACCTGAACATCAGAAAATAAAAACAGCCAGCTACTGGCTCTTACCTCTACCTCAACCCAAAATGATGATCCTTCCTCTGGGAATCTCAGAATGAAATTGTGTGTAAGAGCTGTCCTCTGTTTTATATTCCTCCCTAGTTCTAGAATTAAAGGTGTGCACCATTACTGCATGCTTTGTATAGCAAACTAGTGTGGCTACTGGGAATAAAGGAGTGTGTCACCAAGCCTGGTCTATAAGGCTGGTCAGTATGGCTGTTTTACTCTCTGAACTTCAGGCAAGCTTTATTTATTAAACCACAAATGAGCCATCACTACACAGTCATGTCACTGCCGCACCAGTAGGCAGGTGGAGCCTTTCCAGGAGGTATTATAGGTCATAGTCTTCACAGATGATAGGATCATTGTTGACTTTCCTCCCTTGGCAGTCTACACAACACATTCTGGATTATAAATCTAGTGAAAATAGGAAACTTCCAGATAATTTTTCCAGTTTATTTCTTAATGATCTGCAATCAAAGTTCATGATATCTTCATTATTTGATGAGAAACCAAAATTGATGACAGTACTTTGTACCTTTTTTTGGTGTTTCTGTGTTCCCCTTGACTGACAATTTTGACTCTGAAATTCCTGATCCTGAAAGTTCTGTTTAATAACCAGTTGCTTCTGGGAATTATCCATCTATGCAATTATCCACAATTTCAACTCTTTTTAAATTTTATTTAAATTTTATATATGTAGATGATAAAATACCGTGTTTCTACAAAGCTTTTCAATTAAACCTTTGTTTTCTTAACCCACTCTATTGAGTTTTTCTCAAAGTCAAAATTGAAAGCCAGATTGTAAAAGTCGTCCAATTCACCAGACTGATAGATTCCTACAGCAACCCAGAAAGAAAGGGAATCGGCATAATCTTACCCTGTGGAAGGAGCAAGGAGTTTATGGTCTACTTGAGGTTGAATAGTTTTGTGTTATCCTTTTCTTAAATGGAAGCTTGAAACATTCGTCAAGTCAGCATAGCACCTGGAATCTTAAGATAGAATCTGCAGTGCACTAGAAAGAGCTGTGACCAGCAGATTAGGGATGAGGAAGAAGCATTCATGAGGTTTAGATGAAGAAGTTTGATAAGCAGAAGAAACCTTCTCTAGCAATGAGGAAGTCAGTGCAAGAAACTTACTGGAAAGTAAAGCACAAGCCAGACCATGAGATGGGTGAACTTCCTTCAGTAGGTCAGTTCTGTCTTGTCATCATTTCCAGATCTCCTTCTCCTATGATCTTCTGTCTTGTAATGGTCCTATTTACTCCTTAATCAACCCAGAAAGATTGTGGTCTTTAGTTCTTGTTTCCCCACTATTACTGCTATTAACTCTATAAAATCCTGTCCTGAGATATGTCCCTGCTGCTGTCTTCCAGTTTCTGTGCTAACTTTGAAAGGCTACTCTCTAACCTGTTGTCTACAGGTTACTCAGGGCACTCCAGAATTCTAGTGTTTGTGAACCATCACCCCTTCTGTGATTTAGTGATTCAGCTACCTTTTAGTTCTTTCTGTTTCTGTAACAACTCCCAACTTTGGTTTTCTCCTCACTTTAATCACTATAATCTATCATATGTTCCTTATCTAGCATGAACAGATGTTTGTTCATAGCTCCCAGGGAATAGTTTCATACGCTGGGCTTGCCTGTCAAGTTTCACATGCTGGCATATGTACATTTTGGTGTATGTACATTTTGGAGAGATCTTTAACGTCATGCCTAAATTGAGAACACTAAATACATATGAGTATTATCCTTCTAAGTTATTACTGTAACTCCCTGAGACCCCGATGACTTCTTTTTGGAATATATTGGAACACAATTCAATGTCTACAATACAGTTTTCTTTTCTGTACCTGGGCATTTCCTTTTAGCTCCTCCAATATTTAGTGGCTCAGAAAACAGCATCGTCATCATCAGAGGATGAGCAGGTGAAGTTACCTGATGCTGAACTTATATCTTCCAAAGTTATCAGCTAAGTTAACCAGGTTTCTTTATAATGATAGAGTGTTAATGGTCAAGTTATAGAAAAGAAAGTGAGCAGATACATATTTAAGGGAAAATAAAGCTTGAGATTGGCATTTTTGTTGGAAATCAGTAGATATTGAGATGGAGCTAATACTTTAGTTTACCTATATGAAGTGCTGGCTGTTCTTCTGCCAGGGGTGGGTACAGTGTGACTTTTAAACTGAAATTGTGTATTTGGACTTCCCTTTGGACTGTCATCTTACAAATATGACATGTAGAGGCTGATTATTTACTATGCTAGCTCTACCATACAATAGGCATGTCCCACTAGCTCTTATAACTTAAATTAACCCATATTTTTGTTAATTACATATTACCACAAGAATTTTAACTCTCTCCCATTATGTGTGTTCAACTCATTCTACCTCATGATGACATCTCCTGTATTCCTCAATTATTTTCTCTTCCTGTCTTTGCCTGGAAGTCCAACCTATCTTTCCTGCTGTTTGAGTTTCATTATTATACCCATCATAGCAATACATCTTCACACAGTGCACAAATGACCCACACCATTTCTCTAATTTGTCTAAAAAGGAAAGGTTTTCAACTCTAACAAAATAATATTATATATAATAAGAACACCTATCAAGGAAAAATTACATTCACAAAATCCAGTCTACTTGTATTTGAAAAATTTGGAGAAATTATTATCTTTCTTATCTTGACAAGTACAAAGTTTTATACCTAATCTGCCTTCTATTACAACTCATAAAAACATCTTTTGAGACTTAAAATATCTTCTTAGATAAACAACTTAAGTTTTTATGTTTTTTTAGACCTCAGTATGTTTTATTTTATTTATTTATTTAATTATTTGTTATAAATTTCTAACTTTTCTCTTCCTCCCATTTCCCTCCCACTCCCCACTTCCTCTCTCCCTTG